ACCCCTTGCCGGCCTTCCCCTTCCTTCCACCCCCCACCCCCCGTCATCCCTGAGCATCTCTGTCCTGCACATCTCAGTCTCACCCACATCTCCCCAGGACCCTGGGGGCTCCCCCTGGAGAGCCCTGCACCCCAGGTCTGCCTCGGGGTTTCCTCAGCACCTTCCCCTCTTGCTGCCAGCCCCAGCCCAGAGAGCCAAGAAGGGGGGCTTCTATGGGGCCAGCGGCTGGGGGGGGAGCAGCAAGTCCACCAAGCCTACCCCCCCCATCCATAGACCCCTCTCAATCCCCTCCCCTCGTCGCTGCTATTTCTCATGGCCCCGACCCATATCACCCCACCCTCAGCGCCCCATGCCTGCCTCCGGATCCTGCTCCCCGGCCTCGGCAGCGTGCCAGCTGCGATACTGCGGCCTGGAGCCCTCCCGAGGGACGACGCTGCTCACGCAGGCCTGGCACCTTGGACTGGATGGTCACCCGGTGCCCCTCTGGGACCGTGCTCTGCCAAGCCCCCAGGGGAGACCCACTGTGCGGCCCTGTCCTGTCCTGGGGAGGGGACCCCGCCGCCCGACTCACCCGGAAGTTCTCGGGGTCCACGTGCAGCTTGTTGCAGTGCAGCTCGCTCAGCTTGGCGTAGGTGGCCTTCACGCTGTCCAGGTTCTTCACGGCCTCCCCGAAGGAGGTCAGCACCTTCTTGCCGTGGGCCCGCACCTTGGGGTTGCCCAGGATGGCCGTGGGGCTGGAGAGGTTCCCGAAGGAGGAGAAGAACCGCTGGGTCCAAGGGTAGACGATCAGCAGCCTGGGGAGAGACACACCCGGGGTGAGCGCGGGAGCGGCCGAGGGGCCGGGGGGCAGAGGCCGGGGGGCTGAGCCTACCTGGCCAGGGCTTCGCCCCCACATTCGGCCACGTCCACCTTGCCCCACAGGCTGGTAATGAACTGCTTCTCCTCGGCTGTCCAGTGCACCATGGTGGCGGGCAGGGGGTCGCTTGCAGAGGCGGCTGATGGGAACGAGGAGATGAGTGGCCGGCCCTCGGCCGGACCTTTATCCTCTGGCCTCGGCTCCTCCCCCTCCTGGCCATTGGTCAGCCCGGGGGTGGGTCTGCGCTGGCTGGGGAGGGGACTGGCTGGGCAGAGTGTGATCTCCAAGGAGGGGGGCCCAGTAGACACGTTCCATTCACTGCCCCTTCCGCACAGCGTGCGCCTCCCCCACCCTCGGGCCCGAGGCCCAGGGGCAGAATGACACACAGACAGGACGTCAGCCCGCCGGCCCTTAGCCCTTGTCCTCTGTCGGACGGGACAGGGCCCGTGAAGTGGGGGGAAGACCCCCCTGCCCAGAGGGGCACCCGAAAGCCAGATCCCTGACTGGTGCAAAGTGACAGAGCCGTGCCGAGTACACCCATTCACACGGGGGAAGGGTCTGGCCCTGTGGTCAGGGGTGTGAATCCCTTGGGACCTGCCCAGGCTGGGGTCTATAGACGGTCACTCTCTAAGGCCCATTGCTGGCTCCTGGACACATGCACCTGCCCTGGGCAGGTTTCACTGCGTTTGTGTGCAGTGCGGTCAGTGCAGAGACACGTGTGCCCCCCGGGGCAGGTTTCACTGTGTTTGTGTGCAGTGCAGTCAAGGGCAGGTTTCACTGTGTTTGTGTGCAGTGCGGTCAGTGCAGAGACACGTGTGTCCCCCGGGGCAGGTTTCACTGTATTTGTGCGCAGTGCGGTCAGTGCAGAGACACGTGTGTCCCCCGGGGCAGGTTTCACTGTATTTGTGCGCAGTGCGGTCAGTGCAGAGACACGTGTGTCCCCCGGGGCAGGTTTCACTGTATTTGTGCGCAGTGCGGTCAGTGCAGAGACACGTGTGTCCCCCGGGGCAGGTTTCACTGTATTTGTGCGCAGTGCGGTCAGTGCAGAGACACGTGTGTCCCCCGGGGCAGGTTTCACTGTATTTGTGCGCAGTGCGGTCAGTGCAGAGACACGTGTGTCCCCCGGGGCAGGTTTCACTGTATTTGTGCGCAGTGCGGTCAGTGCAGAGACACGTGTGTCCCCCGGGGCAGGTTTCACTGTATTTGTGCGCAGTGCGGTCAGTGCAGAGACACGTGTGTCCCCCGGGGCAGGTTTCACTGTATTTGTGCGCAGTGCGGTCAGTGCAGAGACACGTGTGTCCCCCGGGGCAGGTTTCACTGTATTTGTGCGCAGTGCGGTCAGTGCAGAGACACGTGTGTCCCCCGGGGCAGGTTTCACTGTATTTGTGCGCAGTGCGGTCAGTGCAGAGACACGTGTGTCCCCCGGGGCAGGTTTCACTGTATTTGTGCGCAGTGCGGTCAGTGCAGAGACACGTGTGTCCCCCGGGGCAGGTTTCACTGTATTTGTGCGCAGTGCGGTCAGTGCAGAGACACGTGTGTCCCCCGGGGCAGGTTTCACTGTATTTGTGCGCAGTGCGGTCAGTGCAGAGACACGTGTGTCCCCCGGGGCAGGTTTCACTGTATTTGTGCGCAGTGCGGTCAGTGCAGAGACACGTGTGTCCCCCGGGGCAGGTTTCACTGTATTTGTGCGCAGTGCGGTCAGTGCAGAGACACGTGTGTCCCCCGGGGCAGGTTTCACTGTATTTGTGCGCAGTGCGGTCAGTGCAGAGACACGTGTGTCCCCCGGGGCAGGTTTCACTGTATTTGTGCGCAGTGCGGTCAGTGCAGAGACACGTGTGTCCCCCGGGGCAGGTTTCACTGTATTTGTGCGCAGTGCGGTCAGTGCAGAGACACGTGTGTCCCCCGGGGCAGGTTTCACTGTATTTGTGCGCAGTGCGGTCAGTGCAGAGACACGTGTGTCCCCCGGGGCAGGTTTCACTGTATTTGTGCGCAGTGCGGTCAGTGCAGAGACACGTGTGTCCCCCGGGGCAGGTTTCACTGTATTTGTGCGCAGTGCGGTCAGTGCAGAGACACGTGTGTCCCCCGGGGCAGGTTTCACTGTATTTGTGCGCAGTGCGGTCAGTGCAGAGACACGTGTGTCCCCCGGGGCAGGTTTCACTGTATTTGTGCGCAGTGCGGTCAGTGCAGAGACACGTGTGTCCCCCGGGGCAGGTTTCACTGTATTTGTGCGCAGTGCGGTCAGTGCAGAGACACGTGTGTCCCCCGGGGCAGGTTTCACTGTATTTGTGCGCAGTGCGGTCAGTGCAGAGACACGTGTGTCCCCCGGGGCAGGTTTCACTGTATTTGTGCGCAGTGCGGTCAGTGCAGAGACACGTGTGTCCCCCGGGGCAGGTTTCACTGTATTTGTGCGCAGTGCGGTCAGTGCAGAGACACGTGTGTCCCCCGGGGCAGGTTTCACTGTATTTGTGCGCAGTGCGGTCAGTGCAGAGACACGTGTGTCCCCCGGGGCAGGTTTCACTGTATTTGTGCGCAGTGCGGTCAGTGCAGAGACACGTGTGTCCCCCAGGGCAGGTTTCACTGCGTTTGTGTGCAGTACGGTCAGTGCAGACATGCGTGTGTCCCCCGGGGCAGGTTTCACTGCGTTTGTGTGCAGTGCGGTCAGTGTAGAGACACGTGTGTCCCCCAGGGCAGGTTTCACTGTGTTTGTGTGCAGTGCGCACCCCCGGGGCAGGTTCTAACTACGATTGTGCACAGTGTGGTCAGTGCAGACAGACGTGCACCCCCGGGGCAGGTTCTAACTACGATTGTGCACAGTGTGGTCAGTGCAGACAGACGTGCACCCCCGGGGCAGGTTCTAACTACGATTGTGCACAGTGTGGTCAGTGCAGACAGACGTGCACCCCCGGGGCAGGTTCTAACTACGATTGTGCACAGTGTGGTCAGTGCAGACAGACGTGCACCCCCTGGGCAGGTTCTCACTGCGATTTTGCACAGTGTGGTCAATGCAGACAGACGTGCACCCCCGGGGCAGGTTCTCACTGCGATTGTGCACAGTGTGGTCAGTGCAGACACATGCCTGCTGCAACTCTCCCTTGGTGACAAAGTTTCAGCAGGGGTTAATGGGCGCCAGTCCCATCCATGGCACGGTGCCTGTTTGTGCCTGCTGAGGATCTGACCCGGCGACACAGAGCTCTGTGCCGGCCTGGGCTCCCATTGCCTTTCGCCCTGTGCAGTGGGAGGGCCAGCTGGGCACAGAACCCGGACAGATGGCTCCATGGCAGTTTGCACCCCCTGGGCCTGGCTGCAGGGGACTGCCCAGGCAGGAAAGGGTCTGGCCTGCAATTCCGAGTGGCTCCCCATCCTTTTAGGGCTTTAGTCTGAACAAGGGGTGTGAAAATTTTCAGGGGGGAGGGGTCTGCTCCCCACAGGGCAGGTGATCCCGCCCGATCTCCTGGGGTCCCGACTCTCTGGCGTTCACCCAGCACAGCCCACAGTGACCAGTGATGGCCTCAGGATGCGGTTCTTCACAGAATGAATTTGGGGACGAATTCATGGCCCCTCCGCTGTCAGCCCAGCTCCCTTGAGCCCAGCAGAGCAGCAGCGATGGAACCGCTCGGCGGCCCGGGCCTGCTGCGTTTTGTGCCTCACTCACACGGCACAGAAACCGGCGGTGTTCACCCAGCACAGCCCACAGTGACCAGTGATGGCCTCAGGATGCGGTTCTTCACAGAATGAATTTGGGGACGAATTCATGGCCCCTCCGCTGTCAGCCCAGCTCCCTTGAGCCCAGCAGAGCAGCAGCGATGGAACCGCTCGGCGGCCCGGGCCTGCTGCGTTTTGTGCCTCACTCACACGGCACAGAAACCGGCGGTGCACGGCGAGCCAGGGACCCAGCTCGGGTGGCCTCTTTCAGAGAGAAAAACTCCCCAGCGGCGGCGCCTCCCCATGGCAGATAAATCTCCCCCCATGTGGGCCGCAGCCGGCCTTGGTTTCCATCTCTGTGGTACACACCCGCCCGCCTCGCTGACGGGCCCTCCGGACTGTGGGGGAGAACTGGGAACCAGGGAGTTAAATCGTGTGTGCTCCTTTCTAAATACCACCCCAAACCTGCCCCCGCGCCCTACCTGAGCCCGTTAACGCACGGCTAGACTGCACACCAGGACACACACTGGGAGGGACCAGCCTCCCCTCCCCCAGGGGACAAGGCAAAGTGACCTGGGGTTTTCCCTCTGTTTGTGTCATCCTGGGAAGTGTCTTTCTGCCGCCTCACACTGAAATCATCAATCAACCCGGACATTTGAATCCATTAAACACTTTGCTAATCCGAGTTCTAATTCTGACACCGCTGTAAATGTTCTCTCGCTCTCTCCCTCTGCCTACACACACACACACACCTTCTGAAGGGAATGTTTAAACGTAACACATACACACACCCCCACACCCCCACACCAAGAGGAATGTTAAAACCTCTCTCTCTCTCTCTCTCTCACACACACACACCCACACACACCCCCACAAAGGGGAATGTTAAAACCTCTCTCTCTCTCTCTCTCTCTCTCTCACACACACACACACCCACACACCCACACAAAGGGGAATGTTAAAACCTCTCTCTCTCACACACCCCACACCCCCACACCAAGGGGAATGTTAAAACCTCTCTCTCTCACACACCCCACACCCCCACACCAAGAGGAATGTTAAAACCTCTCTCTCTCACACACCCCACACCCCCACACCAAGAGGAATGTTAAAACCTCTCTCTCTCACACACCCCACACCCCCACACCAAGAGGAATGTTAAAACCTCTCTCTCTCACACACCCCACACCCCCACACCAAGAGGAATGTTAAAACCTCTCTCTCTCACACACCCCACACCCCCACACCAAGAGGAATGTTAAAACCTCTCTCTCTCACACACCCCACACCCCCACACCAAGAGGAATGTTAAAACCTCTCTCTCTCACACACCCCACACCCCCACACCAAGAGGAATGTTAAAACCTCTCTCTCTCACACACCCCACACCCCCACACCAAGAGGAATGTTAAAACCTCTCTCTCTCACACACCCCACACCCCCACACCAAGAGGAATGTTAAAACCTCTCTCTCTCACACACCCCACACCCCCACACCAAGAGGAATGTTAAAACCTCTCTCTCTCACAC